GGGAACCTTGGCTTCCTCCATCACTGGAGCAAGCAAGCCTCCTGCTCGCTTCAGCTGCATGGCTGCCGGCCGCCATCTTTGTTAGTAGTTAATTTGCCCTGATTAGCCAATGGTAAGCGTAGTGGAGGTATGATTAATTACCCTTTTTGTCTTTTATCAGATAGGATAGCTTTTGTTTGTCTGGAAGAATTTTCCATATTGAAAATATGTGGTACCAATGATGAGTTTCCCCTCAACCTTTTCTCTTTAGAATTAAATAAACAGTGAAATTCAAAACTGAATTTTCTACAGGAATGAGAGCTGAAATATTTTAAAGACTTTGATTCTACTTTAAGTGAAGTTAAATTTGCTAGGTTAATGTTGATTAATGGTATATTTGGTTTCACTGTGTGTGTGGATTAAAATATCCCAAAATAAAGAAAAAAATCTTACCTTGGAATTGGAATTCAGAAGAATAATAACAAAAATCTCAAATTTCTCATTAGAAAAGAAGCTAATTAAGAATAGAAAAAATTATGTAGAATCAGATATACCTAATACTCAAAGTTAGGGGTCATAAACCAAACACTTTTTTCTAAATTTAGAAACAGATTTGTAGTTAACATGGTTTTTTAAATGTTAAAATTTAAAATGAAACCTAGAAGCTGGGTTTAAAATAACATAAATTTATTTTGGGATTTTCTCTTTAAGTTCCTTTTGGCTGGGTTAGTTGAGCTTCTGGGATTTCTAGATTTATAGTTTTTATCATATTTGGAAAATTATTATGTATTTAGCAATGTTGCTTAATAAAATTTCATTTCATTCCCCCCCCCCAAAAAAAATAACTTAAATTCTGAGACAGTGTAGAAAAGGAACATGTATGCCAGCAGAGTCAAACAGTATTCACTGAACTCTTAACTCCCTCTCTATTCATTATATTTTTGTTCCTACTTTCCCTTTGTTCATGTTTATATATCTTTTACTGAGAGATTAGTTAATAAAAATTAGTTGAAATAAACCTAAAAGCTAGTACATTAACATTTGAAGAACTATCAAACTCTCGATTGCTTTGCTTCTGAATGATAAGTTTTAAATTATTTTATTGTTAGTATGATATAACATTTATTGAATTTAGAAAAAAAAATTTTAAATATATATATACTCATTTGAGAATGTGTGTGGTGTGTGTGTGTGTGTGTGTGTGTGTGTGTATTGTCCTTTTTGTTTTAATCTTGCACTGTTCCTCTAGATCTGAGATGCACAATAAAACAGTTAGTCAGAGGTTTGGCCTGCTTTTGGAATCCTACTGCCGTGCATGTGGGATGTATTTGAAGCACCTGAACAGGCAAGTCGAGGCTATGGAAAAGCTCATCAATTTAACTGACATTCTCAAACAAGAGAAGAAGGATGAGACTCAAAAGGTATATGACTCTTTAGTTTGTTTTTAAAACTCTTTATTGCAGTGTGGCAGGGTTTTTTGAGAGCCCAGTGTACAGGAGTGTGCAAAAGTAGGTCTATAATTGTGAGTACACAAATAATTAATATTTATTTATTATTGTATTGTTTATTTGTATTATTTCCATATGAACAAGTGTAAACTTACTTTTGCCCACCTCTGCATATGCAGATCATGGGTCTTAGAATCAAGCATATTAGGATTTGTATCCATTTCCACTGGCTCTTGGCTGTGTAATGTTGGACACATTATTTAGTCTTTGAGATTCATCTTCCTTATCTGTAAAATGGGAATAATTCTTTCTTCATAATGTTGTTGTGATAATTAAGTTATATGAGATATGCAAAGCTCCTGTCACAGTCCCTAGAACATGGGAAGTGCCCGGTAAATGTTAGTTCTCTCTATCTCTCTTCCTTTCTTTTTTATATAATCCTTTTAAAAATAATTTTTCCAACACTTTCAACAATAAAGAATTATTAAAAAATAAATAAAAATAATTTTCCCTATTCTGTGTCACTTACTCTTTTAGTAATGACCTTGAAAATGAGTGGAAGAAAATGAGTGTTTACATTTCAGAGTTTAAAATGGACTTAGTTACTCAGTGAACATGTCACGCTTTAGTCAAGTGCAGTCAAGCTTAGAGTTTCTGAGGAATATGAAATATGAAGATATTTCATGAGCTTTTCCTATTCTTTATCCTTTATTCCACCATATTTTATAGTTAAAAGTGAAATCATACTTCATCTCTAATGAAATGAAAAAAAAATCCCAGCTTATTAGTGAGTCCCCAAAGTATACAGAATATAAATTAGCAGTACTGAATTAATTTTTCTAATATCTTCATTAATATTGCTTGAAAAAATATTACTTTCTGTAAAAATAAAGTTACTGTTTTAATCTAAATGCCACAGAATTGATTTTATTAAAGTTGTGGTATATAAGTTTAAATGTAGATTCTTAGAAAATAATTATACTGTTTCTGATGCTGGAATTGTGAGCAAGAGGGGACTAGACTGCTTTGAAAGAATAACGCTTATTAGATTTATATTGTAACTGAGATAAGAAAAAAGAAACTAGATATTAGTTAAATTAGTAAATATAGGCATTTTTTCTAAACTAGAATTTTATATAACAGATTGGCCATGATACAGTGGGTTAATTAGGAACATGAAATTCACTACTCAGATTACTATTGGCTTAAATGGAGTTGTGATAGGGAACTAAAAACGCAGTCATAGGATTTGTGGAATCTAAAAAAAAACAACAACAACTGAGCAAGCAGAACGGAAACAGACTAATAGATACAGAGAACTTTTTGATGGTTGTCAGATGGAAGGGGGTTGGGGATGATTGAAAAAAGTGAACGGGTTAAAAAATACAAATTGGAAGTTACTGAATGGTCACAGGGATGTAAAGTACTGCCCCAGTCATAGGACTAAAGGCAGTTACTTTGTGTGGTTTGTATTTTATCATAACAATGATAAAGTGCAGGAAACAGTGTGCTAACATTAGGGCTGATAGCGACAGAGAAAGAAATGCCTTTACATGATCAAGAGCCCTAGTCAGTGATGACTACATTTTCTAGCTATTCACTTATACATAGTGAGGAAGGGGGGGCGGGGATTTGTTACTAAAATCCAGCATGAATATAAATTTATTATGAAGTCCTAAACTCTTTTTTTGTTCCCCACTCATATTTTACATTTTCAATAGATAGAGGTTTTCTAAAATAAAATGGCAATTATTGCATGATAGCTCAGCAGTCTGGGCTCTGCTTTGAACTGATTAAAAAAGCATGTTCCTTTCTAACTCTGTGCTAGAGCATGAGTATAGTGTGAGACTCAGTGTAACAAATGTTTTTACAAGTCCTTTTCCCAGCAGTTCCTTTTAGCCTCCCTTGACCTTTTCTACCCAACAGAAAGAGAGTGAACATGATGTCTCCATAGCTTTCCCTCTACAACAGTGGGTCAGCAAACTTTTTCTTACAAGGCCAGATAATAAATAGATTTTCAGGCCATGTGGACTCTGTTGTAATTACTTAACTCTGCTGTTTGAGTGAGAAAACAGCCAAAGTCTAAATGAATGGGCATGGCTATATTCAATTCAATATGATTTACAAAATCTGGCCACTGACCTGCTGTAGTTGACCACGCCCTGTTCTAGAGCCAAAGCATTGCCTCTGTCATCAGGCAGAGTTCTGCTCACAGGGAGGTGCACAGTGCTGGCACTCTCACCTCTGCCTAAGTTTGTCTGCTCTGTGTTACAGAAACACATCGAACTAGAATGCCGCCAATCCAAGCTATCAATTCAAAGGCTGAGGTTCCAGTGTATAAAAGAAATTAGCAGTTAGTTTTATCTTTTATGAGCTCATCTCTAATCACGATTACACTAATTTATCAGGTACAGATGAAATTTTTAGTTGAGCAGATGCGGCGACCAGATTTCATGGATGCTCTACAGGGCTTTCTATCTCCTCTAAATCCTGCTCATCAATTAGGAAATCTCAGGTAAGGTACCTTATTGGAAGTTTTATTTATATATTTAAATAGTACCCTCTTTGGAGAAAATCTTGAGAAAAGTCAAAATGTCCATTATAATTAGCCCTAGCTGGTTTAGTTCAGTGGGTAGATGTCGGCCTGTGGACTGGGGGGATCCCAGGTTCGATTCCGGTTAAGGGCACATGCCCAGGTTGTGGGCTTGATCCCCAGTTTGGGGGTGCAGGAGGTAGCCAATCAATAATTCTCTCTCATCATTGATGTTTCTCTCCCTTTTCCTTCCTCTCTGAAATCAATAAAAATATATATATTTTTAAAATTCCATTATAATTAGAATATTCCATTATACAGGGTGAGGCAAATGTAGGTTTACAGTTGTGAATACATGAAGCACAGTTTATCCGTGTATTATTTATTAATTATTGTATTATTTCCTATACAAACAACTGTAAACCTACTTTTTCCCCACCTTGTACATGCTTCCTTCTCCCATTCTCCTACCCTACAAAGTAAGAGTTACAAAATTTTCTTAAGTTCAGAATGAGTTTTACTACTTTAATAATGGAGTTTAAAACACTCTAGAGCCAGAATTTCTTGTATCATAGGATAAGAAATGGAATGTAATATCTGTAAAACTAACGATGTGGCCCTGGCTGACGTTATTCAATGGTTAGAGCATCGGCCTGAGCACCAAAGGGTCGCGAGTTCAATTCCAGTCAAGGGCACGTATCTGGGTTGCAGGTTCAGTCCCCAGCCCAGGTTGGGGCACGTGTGAGAGGCAACCAATTGATGTTTCTCTCACATTGATGTTTTTCTTTTTTTCTTCCTCTCCGTCCTCCTTTCCACTTTCTCTGAAAAGCAATGGAAAAAATATCCTTGGGGGAGGATTGAAAAAAAGAATGTGAATAGGAAAAAAAAAAACTAATAATGTGTCCCTATGTTTGTTGAAAATTCATAAACTATTATGTAATTAATTTTTAAGCTTAATATTTTTTACTTTTTTAAATTATTTATTGATTTGAGAGAGCAAGGAAGGGAGGGAGGGAAGCGGGGGGGACATCAATTTGCTGTTCCAATTAATCTACTCATTCATTGGTCGCTTATATATGCCCTGACCAGGGATTGAACCTTCAACCTTGGTGTATCAGGACAACCCTCTAACCAACTGAGCTTTTCTCTTTATAATCCCTTAGAAATGAATTCATTAATAAAATCAAGTAGAAACTTTAAAATTTTTATAACACTTTAGAAAGCTATGCTATTTTAAAATTAATTTGAGGGTAAAAGAATAATAAAGCTAAAGTGCCTATTAAAGTGTTTAACTATTTTAAAGGCTTGAAGAGTGTCGAATTATGTCCTCTGCAAAAAGGCCACTGTGGTTGAATTGGGAGAACCCAGACATCATGTCAGAGTTACTCTTTCAGAACAATGAGATCATCTTTAAAAATGGGGATGGTAAGGAAGAGTATTAATGAACCTATGATGCATGAATTTAGCTATCCTTTTATATACAGGATATTTATGAACCATGAAGACTATTGAAAGCTATTTAAGGAATATGCATGTGGTAAAATGTGTAATATTAAGCAGATGTCTTGGCCTTTAGAATATGTATGTATAATTATTGAAAAGAAGTACTGGTTTAGAATCAGAAAGCTTGAATCTTTTTCTAACTATCATTTGTTTAGCTATGAGAGTGTCCATTTATTCCATAAACATTTGATGTGCTAGACAGTGGGGTTGTAAGAATAAACAAAACAGAATCCCTGCCCTCTTAAAGGTCACATTCTAGCAGAGAAGAGAGGGATATAAGACAAATAATTATAAAAATAAAATTACAACCATGGTACAAAGGAAAAATGTAGTTTGCTAAGAAATCATGTGAAAGGAGATCCTAATTTACTTGGAGAACAGGCTGCGGGGGAGCAGTGTGAGCATCACTGATGGGTTTCCATTGGGGAAATGACATTTCAGCATTGAATTCAGTTAATCGAATGTTTAAATATAAACATGTTCACATTTAAGAATTCAGAAAAATAAATGTTTTAATTTAAAATGTTTGGAAAATAGTTTATCCTACATTGTTATATAGATGAGTTTATGTAGATACTTTAGAAATGGGTTAAAGAATCAAAATATTGCTTCCTTATAGATTATTTTGAAGAGTAAACATAGCTCTATTTATTTATCATTTGAAAACAATGTGATGACATGATACCCAAATGTGTACTTATGGCATTAAGTGGTAGTACATATTATTTGAATTTCAGATTTGCGGCAAGATATGCTAACACTTCAAATTATTCGCATTATGGAAAATATCTGGCAAAATCAAGGTCTTGATCTTCGGTAGGTAACCAATAAGGCATCATGTTTGTTGAAAATTACCCTAAAAAAGTAAGCTATTCGTAAATATTAATTTTAAAGCATGTAGAGGCATACATATGTAAAGAAAAGTATGGGGCAGTAATTAACACTAGTTCCTTTCCTTTGTCCTCCTCCTCTTTGGCTTACAATACCTACTGAGATTCAGCTAAGTAAGAAGAGCTCTCTCTTATAAGCTGGTAGATTGCAACTGCGAGTGTCTGTTTAGGAACAGGACATAGGAGACAAAAGGCCCCTGTTGTCTTTCAGAAGTTGAGTTTAGAAGAAAGTTTCTTTCATAACTTTAAATTTTCTAATTTTAAAACTTTCTAAATTCTCTAGTCTTGAATCAATTTTGCAGAAAAATTTATGAAAGCAACTAATCTTAAAGCTTTTACCATTCTGTTGATTTCTGGCCAGCCTTCCACAATCACCAGTATTATCTCCAAGTTTTCTCTCATGCGTCATCTTCTAGTGACCTTTGCTTCTAATGGTTTTTCCTTCTCTTACTTTGCAAATCTAGGATCTTTCAGGCAAAGGCCACACTCTCCAGAAGTGTTTTGTCTGTAAGTGGGCATAAGAGATAGGAATCAACACTAGCTAGATTAGGGTTTATTTGTATGCTTCTTCTAGATTAAGAATAGCTTGTATATAAAAGTGTATCGGTGACAAATAATAGAACCCTTTTATGGCAAAGAAGAAAAATGGACATCTCAAGTAACCTGCCAAATTACAAATTTTAGTTATCAACTTTAATTCTTAATTTTTTTTATTCTTTGCCTAATCCCTGCTGCTTTCCAAAAACAATTCCTGTTATATGAATCAGGTTTCCTTTTTTGGTATAATTTCCTGTTGTGAGAGATCCACATGCCGCTGCTACCACCACTCCCAGGGGAGTAGAGTACAAAAGAGAATGCAGAACTAGACAGTAGAGGAAAGATTTAACTATATAACTCTGGTAATTAAAGATATTTAATTGTAAATTAGTGACTGTGCAGAAAAAGCATCTAAAGTTGAGCTTGGTCATTGGAAAGTAAATTGGATCTTTAGAAAGTTTTTAAGTCATAATATTTTCTAAATGTTGTTCTTTAAATTTAATTAAATTAAGGTTAAAATTTTTGTTTAAAGTTTAATTTTAAATAAAATGATAATATTTTTATTTATTCTTGACAAAACTTAGATTCAGGATTATGGTGATTCTGTTTGGTGGTGTTTTGTGTTTTTTTCCTAACTAGCCTTATAGGGACTGTGTGACTCTTTAAACTATGAGCACGTTCAGTAGCAATAAAATATAAATAAGAGAATAAGCAGGAGTACAGCCTTAAGAAATTCCTGTATTTACCAGAGCAGATAGAAGAAAAGATTCCATAAGAAAAATGTTCAAAAGAGTAAGAGGACCAGAGTAAGAGATTCACAGAACCCCAAAGAGGGAGAGATTCACAAACAATTTAGTGTCATGTGCTTCAGGGTATTTCTTAAGCCCTTGGATCTGATTATTCATGGTTAGCTTTAAGAAGAGCTGACTAAGTAAAGAGGTAGGCGGACTCAAACTCTAAGCTTCCTTCCATTAAAATACTGCATTAGATTGAATACAGAAGCATATATGAGAATTCAGCTCATACTGTTAAGCTAGACATTCAAGAAATTTGAAATAATGGAAAACAGTGCTACTCTTCTCACTAAGTTTTTTAATACAGTCTTTTATATCATAATAGATGTTATTTATATTACCTTATAATAGCTTGTTATTTTATAATTATTTTATGAATTCATTAATATTTTATTTTTTCCATTTTAATTTCTAACATCAATAGATATAGCCCATATAAATAAAAACTCTTGGGAATCCACAGTAATTTTTAAGAATATTAACAAGTCCTGAGACCAAAAATTTGAAACTGTTGCCTTAAAGTATTATTTAGATGTCAATGAAACATCTTTAAATTCATATTTTTAAGCTACAAATGTTTATAAAATTTTAATTGCCATAATAATTTTCTTAATGCTTTTCTGATATACAAGTAAATGTTTTCTCAATTCAAGGTTATAATAAATGATGGCAGATCGTTTTGAGGATTTTTCTAGGAATGTCATCTATATATATAAAAGCCTAAGTGACGGAATGACTGAGCGACCGGTCAACCGGTAGCTATGATGCGTACTGACCACCAGGTGGGCAGATGCTCAATGCAGGAGCTGCCCCCTGGTGGTCAGTGCGCTTCCACAGCCGGAGCACTGCTCAGCCGGAAGCCAGGCTCACGGCTGGCAAGCACAGCTGTGGTGGTGCGAGCCCGTCCAGCCCGGGCTCCTACCTGGCCGCCTGCCGCTTCATGCACTACTACATCCCTCGGGAGATGGTTTCGTGCTGAAACCGGCAGTCTGACATCTCCCAAGGGGTCCCACATTGCAAGAGGGCACAGGCCTGTCTGAGGGACCCCACCGGTGCACGAATTCGTGCACCAGGCCTCTAGTACTATAATAAAAAAATAAAATAAGGTTAAGGGAGTAACATGACAAATTTGCAAATACAAATTTTTATGTACTAGCCTGTTAAAATCTTTGCTATTTTAAAATTCTGTCCTTTAACTGCAAATGTTTCGATCCTTTTCCAGAATGTTGCCTTATGGCTGCCTGTCCATTGGGGACTGTGTGGGGCTCATTGAGGTGGTGAGAAACTCTCACACCATCATGCAGATCCAGTGCAAAGGGGGCCTGAAAGGGGCCCTGCAGTTCAACAGCCACACGCTGCACCAGTGGCTCAAGGACAAGAACAAAGGGGAAATGTGAGTGTCATTCTTAGCTTCCTGTGTAATCTACGTTGTTGTCAGACATGTCTTTTAACGGTTGAATATACTTCTGAGTTAGACCAGAGAAAGCAGCTTACTTACTTTGGAAAAAAATATGTTCAACCTTTGACATATATGAAATTGTGTTTAAATGATCAGAATTGCTTATTACTTAGTGAAATCCTATACATTCAACATAGCTATCTAAAAGGTGTTTTTCTTATTGCTTATTCTTTTTTAGAAAAATTAACATTGCAAATTAAAATTTTTACTTCTAGGTTATTGTTATAGCAATTAGAAAAAATATTTTTAATGACATAGTAAGTATTTTTTCACTATAATAAGAATTGTGCTTTGGTCTGAGAGTATCTGGAAATTCCTTAGAAACCTTTGAAAATTTTAGAATCTCAAAACTTCTCACTTCTTTGGACATAATTACTTCTTCCCCCTAATGTCAGTGATTGTTTTCATTGCTTAAATACAGACTTTGACCATCTTTTCCCAGTTTGGACTGGATCACTCTGTATTTCCACAGAACTCATAAAGAGTTTATTTCTTCTTTGTAGATACGATGCAGCCATTGATCTGTTTACACGTTCATGTGCTGGATATTGTGTCGCTACCTTCATTTTGGGAATTGGAGATCGTCACAATAGCAACATCATGGTTAAAGATGATGGACAAGTAATAGTTTTCTCTTTTCAACCGTTTTGGTGTTCTTAAACTTGTTAATTCAGGATATTATATTTCTGCATTTATCAAACTATAACATAATTTTTTCTGTTTGAAAGCTGTTCCATATAGATTTTGGACACTTTTTGGATCACAAGAAGAAAAAATTTGGTTATAAACGAGAACGTGTGCCATTTGTTTTGACACAAGATTTCTTAATAGTGATTAGTAAAGGAGCCCAGGAATGCACCAAGACAAGAGAATTTGAGAGGTAAGCTCAAGAAATCAGAAGCACAAAATGAAGAATTCTAGCTGCTATATCAAACCAATTGATATTTTTCAATCAATATGAATAAAAGATGTACATTAACATTGGAGTATAAACTGAATATTTTAATTTATTGTATAATGCAGTGAAGAAAAAGAAAACAATTTATTTAGTCAAAGTCTAAAAGGAAAGTGATCTTTAAACTTCTTAATACATTAAGCTTTTACTTACTGCTGTTAAAATACTTGGACTCCACCTTCTCTATATTGACAAATAATGTATAGTGCTTAAGACATTTTTTAGTCATGCAATTTGAGGAACTCAGTCAACTATAAGTAGTTTATCTTAAACCTTAAAGTACTTTTAAAACCTTTTATAAAATTTTGTTTTATCTATAACTCAGTCCTGGCCCTAGACTAAATCCTAAATGGATTGATTCATACATTTAATAAATCCTTATTAAACTCCTAATGTGCCAGACCTCCTTGTAGGTACTGAAGATAAAGCAGTAAACAAAGTCTTTTTGGGTGCGTGAAGTTTACGTTCTAGTGTAGGATAAAGGGATTGAGGAGAGGAATGCTATTTTTTAAATATATTTTATTGATTTTTTTACAGAGGAAGGGAGAGGGATAGAGAGTTAGAAACATTGATGAGAGAGAAACATCGATCAGCTGCCTCCACACTCCCCACTGGGTATGTGCCCACAACCAAGGTACATGCCCTTGACCGGAATCGAATCTGGGACCCTTGAGTCCGCAGGCTGACGCTCTATCCACTGAGCCAAACCGGTTAGGGCAGGAATGTTATTTTTTATAGGTTTGTCCAAGGAAGCCTCTCTAATGAGGTGACATTTGAGCAGAGACCCGAAGCTATTAATGCCATTTGCTTCATACTAACCAACTTGTTCTTATTACTTGTAGGTTTCAGGAGATGTGTTACAAAGCTTATCTAGCTATCCGGCAGCATGCCAATCTCTTCATAAATCTTTTCTCAATGATGCTTGGCTCTGGGATGCCAGAACTACAATCTTTTGATGATATTGCATACATTCGAAAGACCCTAGCTTTAGATAAAACTGAGCAAGAGGCTTTGGAATATTTCATGAAGCAAATGAATGATGCACATCATGGTGGCTGGACAACAAAAATGGATTGGATCTTCCACACAATTAAGCAGCATGCTTTGAACTGAATGATCACTAAGAAATTGAAAGCTCGATATTGGATTCTAGTCTGCACTGTTAATAACTGTCAACAGGCAAAGACTGATTGCATAGGAATTGCACAATCCAAGAACAGCATTAGAATTTACAGCAAGAACAGAAATAAAATACTATGTAATTTAAATAATGCAAATGCAAACAGGGTTTGATAGCACTAAACTAGTTCATTTCAAAATTAAGCTTTAGAATAATGCGCAATTTAATGTTATGCCTTAAGTCCAAAAAGGTAAACTTTGAAGATTGTTTGTATCTTTTTTTAAAAAACAAAACAAACAAAAAAAAACCCAAAATATTTAGAAATGACGGAGAAGGAAAAAGAATGATGCTCTTTTTTGTCTTGCAAATGTTCTATGTTATGAAATGTGGACACGCAAAGTCTATTATTGCATTAGGTCCAGATAAACTGGAGTTTGATGTTAAATTACATTAAGATGGGAAATAATGAAATTTCTTATTTTTTTTCATTGCTGTTCAACTTATAGTTTGAAGTGGGTTTTTGACTCCTTGTTTAATGAAGAAAAATGCTTGGGGTGGAAGGGACTCTTGAGATTTCACCAGAGACTTTTCTTTCTTAATCAAACCTTTTGATGATTTGGGGTCTTATCTGCAAAGTTTTGGAAGCAGTCACAAATGAGACCTGTTATAGTGTGGCTTTTGGGTTTTTTCTGGACAGTATTTGCAAGAATCTGATTCTTATTTCCCAGGGAAATTCTGGGGGCCCATAAAGTAAAATAATCATAGAGAAAGAATGAGCAGGAATAGTTCCTGCTTCAGAATTGTACAGTATTCACCTTAAGTTGATTTTTTTCCTCCTTTTGCAATTGATGAATTGAATACATTTTTCATGCATGTTTTCCAGAAAAATAGAAGTGAGTATTAATGTTATTAAAAAGATTATTTTTTTTATTAAAGGCTATTTATATTATAGAAACTATCATTAATATATATTCTTTATTTCATGATCTGTCCCATAGTCATGCATTGTTTTGCACCCCAAATTTTTATTGTTCATATCAGCAATGGTCAGCTCTTCTCTTGGTCTTTGGAGAAGGCTCAGGCACTATCCCATTTATACCAATACTAGTGAATAACTACTTAAAGAAAACAGATTAAAGTTTATCCTTTTTTTTCTTTCTCTTTTTACATGAATCCCCCATCTTCCATCCTCTTTTATAGTTCAGAATGCCTCAATCATATGAAATTAGTTACCAAAATTAATACAACTTAGAGTATCTTCCTGATTGCTTAAACCCTCTACAGAGGTATGCTCATGAATAATACTTTATAATATGGGGAAATAGAAACCATGAACTTTTTACCATTTTAGGCTATTTATCCAATATCTCAATAATAAAAGCAGGATTATGTCCCATTTCCAAGTGGTCAGGGCTCACTCTCCAGAGAACTTCATTAAATTGCAGTTGAGCACAGGATACATTCTTAAACATTTTGAAAAACATTAACCCAAGATGTAGGGGTTAAGGCTAGTCATCACTCCAGAATCTGATATTTTACTCAGTATTTGAAATGAATGATTAATTCCCTAGGAAATAGTTTTAGCAAATGTTCAGGTGCCACACCAGAGAAAGTGCAATAATTTACTGACAGTTTTCTAGATTAGGCATATTATTGGAATACAACTTTATAAAGAGCACACATTGTATACTCTAGTGAAACAGCATCACTAAAAAATCTTCACTTATGAAATCAGTTACCTATAGTCTTGAATAGTGAACAAGGACTCTAATACAAATACTCTTAATATTTGGCTATTTTAGAACCCTTAAAGGGTGTAATTATTGGAGATTTAGGTACTTCACTAAGGCATGTATATAATATTGCCAACAGGAAAAATAAATTTGAAGATTAGGGGAACGTATTTCTCTAAACTGTCTTGGAATAGTTCAGAAGAATTTAAACTCTATTAAGCAGGAAAACAATCTATTCTTTTGCAGAAGATTTCATAACTTATTAAAACTTCATCATTCATATTTTGTGTCTTAGATCTATTCAGTTATAATACATACTACCATCCCAGTCTTTTCTGTATCAGGAATTGATTACAGGAAAACTCACTGAAATGATACAAGTCTGAGACTCTGTTGGTGGAAAGTGAAGTTTTAACAGAGAACCAACCGTGTTTTACCTGAGTGTCAAAAAAGCTTTGAGCTTCCTTGCACAAAATTTATACAATTTTTGCTCTTTCCACATCAATTCAGTTAGTCCACTTTCCCTGGGACCTCTCCACCATTAAAACACATGCCACATACCATATTTCATCATTGACATTTATTTTCAAGAGTTATTACAACCAAATTAGGTCTGTTTGAGAGGTTTAAACACATTTTATAAAGAATAGAGATTAAGTGATCTAGCTAAAAGCAAAGTAAATATTAAACAAATCCAAGCAGAGTTTAGGCAAACAGCATTAAAAATAAGAAAAAAAGGGACAGGTGGTTCTCAGAAGACAAAGAACCAAAAACTGAATTAAATGCTATATGGGAGACTAGGCTGTTTTAAATTATGACAACATAGTTGCTTCCAGGTACTTTAGTATCAGAGATCAATTCCAATTGATCACTTCCTATGGCCAGCCATACGTCATTGAATGTGGTATAACTAACTATTGGCTCTACAGTTTCATTTGGTCACTTGAGCAATATTTCCTTCAATGACTATTTTGGAGGGGGGAGGAGCAGGTTTAAAGAAAGTAAGACCTAATTTTAAACACATTCTAGCAAGAAATAACCCACTGTTCAAAAATCATGTTTTAACTTTTTGTTACATTCTCAGCTATACAAAATTGTGTATTTTAAAATTTTTTACACTGCTGTTAATTTGAAATCTGTTAATCATATTGTGGAATTTGGTGTGTTTTTTTAAAAGATGTTTCTAATTGGATTTTTTAATCAAGAATGGAATTTGGTCTCTATTTTCTGATAGAACCTAAGCTTTTTGTGGTTCTTAGTGTTCTGTGTAAAACTTAGTGTCAAAGTAATCAACTTTGAGGTTTTCCCTTCTACTGTGCTTTATATTACAAGCCCTTTAGGAAATGGAACCTGGTGAATATACAATGAATTGTAAAATATTTTAATGTGTAACTTTTTCAACTGTGAAACTATGACTATTGGTTTTTTGATGAAAACAACTGCTGATAAAGTATTTTGTGTAAAGTGTAGTTCTTATTAGTCAGGAAAATAATCAATGACTTGATTAGAATGTATATACCCTCTTGGATTTTAAGTGGATTGGTCATTTTCACATAGGTAAAACACAGTCCAACTGTATTTTTTCCATCAAAAACTGCGTGATTTGGCATTCTTAAAAAATTATGAGCAGCCCATCTATTCTAAAGGAACCATGGAAATTTCACAGCATATAAACCTGAATTTGTTTCTTAATGATTTTGTAAATCCATTTAATTCATATCCTGGCTATTGCCTATGCTTGCCAGCTCTTTGGAGAAATTTAATTCCTAGCATTAGTTTAAAGCCAGCAGGTTAACTCTTTGTGAGTGTTATAAAGTTCCTTTTGTTTTATTGCCTGCACCAACAGCAGACCTGGGCTGGACCCACACACTCAGAATCCACCTTAAAAAATTAATTTTGATGTCCAGGACATCACTGTAGTATTTCAATTGAAAGGCCATATATGGTGTTAATGGATTGTGGTGCTTCTACTATTTAAAAACAACTTTCATACTTCAGATGTGTTTGAGAAGAGGGGAATCGGGGGTTAGGGGGGTGCAAAACAGGGAGGAGTTGTTTGAATGAATTACATTCTTCATATCCTGCTCAGATGTGGCATGAAAGAAGGCTGAAAGTTGTGAGAATATATTGTGCATACCACAAGGGAATTAACCCTTCATCAAGGATGGGATTGTGAAGGCTGAACTATAAGATTCAGCATTGACAGGATACTCAGATAATCATTCTTGGTGACAGAATAATACAGCTGGGCTGTTTTTTTAAAATATAAACACAAACCATTTTTATTTTTTAATTATTACATTAAAAATTGTAAATGAATCTTATGTGCCATGGCCTGGAAAGCCTTTTTTCTTTTCTGTTAAACGTTATGTTCACTTTCTGAAAAGACTAGGGCTTAGCTCAAGATAACTGTGGTCCTGATAAAATTAGATTGGTAACTCTACCTCAGAAGGTTAATAAGGAAAAAAAAAATAGATGAGTCACAATCCAATACTTTAGGCTCTGATATTACCGAAATTTGCAGAGCACTGTATTTGAGATTTATAGTCAGAGTTGGCATGCCTCGTTTTTAATGGCATTGGAGACATTAAGAAAAAAAATTGGTTAAAAATTTAATCATTGCTCCAGCCATTTGGCAAAGGCATAGTGCTAGGAGGTTCATGGTACTAGGTTCTTGAATTTGATATTTAAAATTAGTTGTGTTCTCTTTTCTTAATTATTAGTGAAATTAGTGTGTGTATATGTGCACACATTTCTATTTGTATACACGCTGCTTGCTAGTTCTAGTCAAGAGGCATCTTTTATAAAAGATGTAAACATCCAGGTTCTAAAATTCAGAAGAGTTTAGAATTTATTAGGAGTTTCCCAAGTTGGGATGGTAGTTTTTAAATAAGCTTATTTCATTCAAGTATTCCACTTGATTAAAGTTTTGCACTTCTTTTTTATCAATGCAGCGCCATTCCTTTTGCTTAGATATGTTAATATTTTAGATATGTTAATATTACAGCCATGCTGGCTAGCATATAGTGACAGTTATGAGCCATCAGGAAATTTTCTGACTTAATTTTTACACAATTACATATAAGTTTCAACAGGGAGGGGAAAAAAACAATAAAAGCAGTCCCTTTTACATTTACTATAGTTGGGTAACTGATTTTCACTCCTAACCGTAGACTCCATTCCACAAGTTGGTAAGTATGGAAAGGGGCTTTTTAAACGTACTTTGTAAGCTATTCAGGTCTATGAATCTATCTGAAATCATATTTAATTTGTCACTACAATAATTTTGTGGTTATGCTAAGAGACATGTACATTTTTTAAGTGAAAAATTTTTGTTAATACTTCTAAGTTAGGAAGGAGGCAGAAAACCAACTTTGATATTTTCTCAAAATATCTTTAATAAGACTGAACTCCTTAATTCTAGTGTAAATTTCCAAATGTGGTCATTATCTATTGATTTCATAAGAAACGGCCCCTTACCAGATTTAATTTATGTTCCTATGAGTGGTCAGTGAAGTTGGCCTTCCTCTGATTTCAAATGCAATCAATGGTTTCAATATGATTTTGTCCTTGTACTTAAGTTGAATAAAACCTAAAAGAATGTGTCCTTTTGGAACATAACACTTTAACAGCTCGGGGAATGTGGCACTACCAAAAGACTACTAACCCATCAAATGTTGACTTTGGGAATTTTAAAAATAGCTCCTACCACCCTTTTTAGACCCACTTATTGTAGCAAATCGATCTCACTCTATTTTGTCATTCAATGAATTGAAGTCCTGTGGTATATATACTGCATTCGTTAGGAGAAAAATGTTTTTAAATGTTCTTTTAATGATGGCCCAAAAAGTATTTGACACAGCAAGATGCATGTGTTATTGTACTGAGAATATAGAATAATAGTGTCACTAAATTTAAGACCTCTTCCCAGTCTTGCTGTTCCTAGCAAGAAGCTTGGCCTGTGACTGCACTTATGTTTGTGCTCATCAGAAACTGTCAATGTCTGCTTTTCTTTAACTTCGTAGTCTGTAACATCACACTGTTTATTAAAAAAAGAAAATTACTTTGACTTGTGTCCAAATAATCCTTAGTGTTTCATATATTTTATATTTTAAACAAAAAACTGTGATAAGTATATTTTGCCATGTTTTGAATACTTAAAAGCAAACCAGTATTGCTAATAACCAAATTTTAGCTGAATTTGAGTTCTTATCAATAATGACAGAAACATTGAATGAAAACCTGAAACTATTATGCCTTCAAAGTCAGTTTTTCTGCCCCAGTAAAGTGATGAATATTAGAGAAATATCTGATTAAATATTAACTTCCTTTAAGCATAAAGAATTATATGCTTGTATTTTAAGCAGAAATATATGTATACACATACATGAATGTATAAATGTGTTTGTATGTGTAAACAGACTTTTTTCAAGTCACTTGAAGAACAGAACCTAGAAAGTAGGTTAGAAGCAAACTGGTTTTGCTTTTAGTTAATATAAGCCTTGCAAAAGGTAAGTGTGAACTTTTTTTGGACCCATAATGCACATGGGCATTGACACTTAGTACTTCTAAACAATTAACAGCAAATAATTGCTTACATTTTGTTTATTTGCCAAGTGATTTGAGTGACTTTGAATTAATATTGTTCTAAATTGACTTTGTTCTCCAAGCATAATATGTCTTTCCTATGATGAACCAAGTAACCACTATACAAATGGAAAATGGTAGGAATTCAAACACTTGTGGTTTCAACACTTTCACAAACTCTAGGTTTCAAATTAGTGGTTTTGAATTTGTTAGGAGAAAAATCCCAAGAATTGCATATTGTTAGATGGGTATCAAACTTACTAAGAAATAGAATAGAACCCGGCCAGTGTAGCCCAGTGGTTGAGCATCGACCTATGAACCAGGAGTCCACGGTTTGATTCCCAGTCAGGGCAGAGCCCAGGTAGTGGGCTTGATCCCCAGTGTGGGGGCATGCAGGAGGCAGCCAGTCAATGATTCTCGTCATTAATGTTTCTATCTCTCTCCCTCTCCCTTTCTCTCTGAAATCAATAAAAATATTTAAAAAAAAAAATAGAATAGAGATATGCCCTTAATTTAAGAAAACTACAGAAACTCAATTTGAAGAAAGATTTAAATGTGTATACATATGTATATTTCATTACAGGGAAGTCTTTGGTATACAAAAGCCTTTTAAACAGCACATTCTGGACCTTCCTTACATGCATATTTTTAGCTAAGAGATGGTGGGGAGGATCCTCTCCCATAGCTTCCTGCCCTCACCCCATACCAGCTGTCCAATGAAAGGTACTGAGGCTGATTGAATTCCTTTTATTTTTAATAAGAATTGTATACATTTAAGGTCTACAATATAATGATTTGATATACAGAGTGAAATGATTACTACAGTCAAGCTAATTAATGTATCACCTCACAGTTACTGTGAGATGAGAGTGCCTGAAATCCCAACAAATTTCCAGTACTCAATACACTATTAACTAGAGCCATCATGTGTATACTAAATCTCTAGATTTATTGTTCATCTTATAACTGAAAATGTGTATCCTTTAACCAACATCTCCCCATTTCCCCCACCTCCCTACTCCTAATAACCATCATATTACTCTGTTTCTATGTATTTGACTTTTTTAGAGTCCACACAAATGCAGTGGAATGCAGTTTTTTTCCTTTCTGTGCCTGGCTTATTTTACTTAATATAATGCCTGCCAGGTTCATCTGTGTTGTTGAAAATAGCAGGATCTCCTTTTTTTTAATTTTAATCCTCACCCGAGGATATGTTTATTGATTTTTTTTTAGAGAGAGAGAACATCAAATAGGTTGCCTCCCATACACGCCCAACCAGGGACCAAACCTGCAACCTTGTGATGTGTGAGACGACATTCCAACCAACTGAGCCACCTGGCTGGGGCAAGATCTCCTTTCTGAAGGCTGAATAATATTCCATTGTATGTACTTAAACACACATTATATATCTATCATCACCATGTCTTTAGTCTGTTGATGGGCACATGGGCTGTCTCCATATCTTGATTATTGTGAACAATGGGAGTGCAGGTATCCCTTGGAGGTGCTGATTTTATTTCCTGTGGGTATGTGGCCAGAAGAGGAATAAGGCTGGCTGAACATTGAAACTTAGCAAAAGATTGTTTTCTACTAAGATTTTTAAGCACCTCTACCAGGTGCCAGAAACTAAGCTAGGTGTTTCATATACTCTACATCTTGTGTATTCCCTACAATAGCCCCATAAAAGAAGAGATGATTCCCATTCTAAAGATGGGAAGAGAGAGGCTCTAACAATTCAGCTGAATTGCCCAAAAACAAATACTTGAAAAGTTGTAATTATGATCTACAACTCAAATCACACACTGAGACACGTTCTCTCCACTATTCCACACTAAAAAGAGGAGAAAATGCCAAAACTGTGCAAGTTGATATTGCCCAATTTTATTATTCAGTTTAGTAATTTATGACAAAATTAATTTCTAAAAGGCATTAAATTGGCTTGGATCAAAGTTTCTTGTTTGGTTACATCTACATAAAAAAAGGTTGCTTCAAAAGTCTCATTCTATTGCCCACCAAGTAAGATTTTTTAGTAAAAAATTTTAAAGCTACTTTAAGGCACACTGGTTTTCAGAACAAACTGTTTTCAACTCATATTCAGCTTGATCTGGAAAGCACCTGTTGGGAGGGTTTTGTGACATTCATTATTTAATAACCATGGTTGACTCATCATTTAATATAAGGGCCATTGTTGAGTATCCACGTGGGACTTTTCTGTGACGGGGGTTATCTGAGATGAATGCTAAATTCCATCCAGTACAACTTATCCCTACTTCACGACAAATTTCTAGCCATATCTTTCCCTCTCACCAGAATGTACACAAAGAATAAAGTGAACTTAAGGAAAGCATAATTAACTAAAAACTGTACCTGAAAGAAAAGTTACATGGTACATGGTAAGGTTAAGTATAAATAACTCTAAACTTACTGAATTTTCCAGGCAGTGGCTTCCCTCCTTTATCACGAATGGTGAACTGAAATGGTAGGGCCACACTTTGGGGGATCACCAGATTACTATCTTCCTATAGTGAATGAACTGTTCTTCACCAAGAATTTTTTTGAGAAATGTTTTAACGTGAATTGTATGGCATAGAACAAGGCTAGTTGTCCAGTGCTCAATAGATTAAATAGCCTCATTATTTATTTCCACATTGACAAGTTCTAGGTAGAGCTGAAATTAAGGACAACTACCTTGAGCTCATTTTGCCATGTGGGAACAAAAAGTGCTTCCTTGGCTCACGTGCAGAGATTTGGAGTAGAGAAGATGGTGAATTTGTGTGTATTTACAGAATAAATAGAATACATGTGAGATTCTTCAAAGTTTTTCTTGCCTGGCTGGCATGGCTCAGTGGTTGAGCGTCGACCTATGAACCAGGAGGTCACGGTTTGATTCTGGGTCAGGGCACATGCCCCAGGTAGGGACTCAATTCCCAGTAGGGCGTGTGCAGGAGGCAGACGATCAGTGATTCTCATCATTGATGTTTCTATCTCCCTCCCTCTTTTTCTCTGAAATCAATAAAAATATATATTTAAAAAAAGTTTTTCTTTCCCATATCATACTTTACTGCCACTTCATGGTTAATTTGTAAGCAGGCATAATCAAGTCTTCACGTGCAGAAACTGCAGGTATCTGAAGGCCAGGACTTCAGTTTGGCCACCATCCTAAGATTGCTCGGCTCCTTCGATGCTGTTCTATATAAGGTACTTTGCCACCTGCCTCACCTCTGAATGCAGTTCTGTACTTCTCACATAGGAGGGACAGGTACTGTGTTAACCGCACCATACCAACAATCAGGGCGCCACCCAGCAGAGTCAGTGAAGGCCAAAGTAAACAGTGGAAAATAACCATTTGGTCGTACTTTTTTATGAGAATGACATCTTCAGATTGGCTGTCTGGACTGTAGAAACATGAAAAGGGAGTCCCGTTTATGTGATCGAAGAACTCCTTTATGTCCAGAGCCCTGTTGAGCAAGTCATTCCTGTCTCGGTGGCACTTAGGTGTGTAAAAGCACTAGGAATGGGGAGAAGGAAGAAAGATAAGGACACTCTTACCAATATCAAGCACTTAACAGTATTAATGCTGAAATAGCTTCAAAATGAAGCTATTAGGGGGTTTCCATCTCAAGGTGATGAAACCTACTACATAGCTCAGGGGGAAGGGTTGGCAGAAGGGCACCGAATGAAATGGCCATTTCCAGGCATTAAGCAGGGCCGTGGGGAAGTATTCTTAGAGTCAAGACACTGCAGAAAAGAAGAGAAACCAAGATGGCAGCATAGGTAAACACCGGAAATTGCTGCCTCGCACAACCACTTCAAAAATACAACTAAAAAACAAAACGGACATCATCCAGAACCACAGGAAGGCTGGCTGAGTGGAAATTCTACAACTAGAAGGAAAGAGAAAAGCACACTGAGACTCAGAGGAGGTGCAGAAGTAAAGTGCAGAGGTACAGAGGTGCACGTGGAAAGG